AATATATTGAAAATATAATCTTTAATGTGGCAAAACCTGATGGGAAAATGGAAGATACTCAGCAAATAGAATATATTCAGCAAATGGAAAAAGTGGAGTCTGGAGCCATAAAAATCCAGGGGGAAAATGAACAGAGGAAAGAAAACCATGGATATTGGCAGTGAACTGTGTGGTTGGAGATGGAAAGAGTGGAACAAGGAAAGGGAAGATAGATGGAAAGGTGTTTTACTACAGATTTCAAGATATAGAAGAAGAAAAAAGAGAAGAATGGATGGATTTAAGGAGATAAATTTTGATCTCAACCTGTGTCTTTCCAGTAATAGTGTAGTCTTATTTTTTTGCATTTTGTGGAAATGATCTTCTGGTTATTTCCTTAATCAAATTAGTTTGGATTTCTCTTCGCAACTTGTTGCTTGTTACATATCTTGTAAAATCTCGAAACCCTCCATTAGCTTCTTTAATCAGCTTATCTTTCGTTTTCAGTAGTGTTTTGATCAAAATTTCTCTCCTTAAATCCATCCATTCTTCTCTTTTTTCTTCTTCTATATCTTGAAATCTGTAGTAAAACACCTTTCCATCTATCTTCCCTTGCCTTGTTCCACTCTTTCCATCTCCAACCACACAGTTCACTGCCAATATCCATGGTTATCTTGCCTCTGTTCATTTTCCCCCTGGATTTTTATGGCTCCAGACTCCACTTTTTCCATTTGCTGAATATATTCTATTTGCTGAGTATCTTCCATTTTCCCATCAGGTTTTGCCACATTAAAGATTATATTTTCAATATATTCCAATCTCTTCTCAATTCTCTCTGTTGTTTCTAATAATCTTTGAATTCTAGACATAATCTCTTGCAATGTTATGGTTTCTTTTTGAATTCGTGTCATCCTTCCAATTAATAAACACAGCCACCCTGGTTTAAAAACAAATCTTCGTTTTCACTTCTTTCACTTTTTTCCAGCTAGCAACAAACATCCAAAGGGCACTTTGAAGTGCAAGGTCAAAATGATCAAAGGGGAAAAAGAAAAAGCAATGTTTCCAGGTCTCAACCTCCAAGTGGCAGTGTAACTTCTCTTCCCTCTAAAGTTACTACCCTCTTTATATACCTTTTAAATCTTCTTTATGTTTCAGGCTTAGAAGAAATAAAGTTCTTAAATGAAACCGAATAAAAAGAAAAAATTCATCCCAACCAGTATTGTAGAAGTAAAGGAAAAACTTTAATCCATAGATAAAAAAAAGAAATAGAAGGAGAAAATCCAAGACTTTCACTTTA